TATCTCGTTTTTCGTTATTCCCATGTGACTTAAGCGTGTCCATGACCATCGTCTTTGGGGTTTATTATCGAAAAATTCATTGAAAAAAGTTTGTTCTTCTTCCTTCTATAAAGATTGAACTAGTTTCCAACTAGAAAGTAGTTCACAATACACTAATTGGGTACTGTCAAAACAAACTCAAGTTAACTATGAATCCGTTGCATCCCTTCATTAAAATATAACAAATGTCAAATTGTATACTGAGTATAGAATGCTTTTTAAAAAATCAATTATGAGGGATCGTATTGAAAATTACTTATGAAGTAATACCTGCCATACTTCAATTAGGCGAGATGAAGATGCAACGATCAGAAAAATTTTCGACCGAAAAGGACCAGTGGGAACGAATTTAAGATTGTTCTGAAGAAGGCTTTGGCTCATGACGAGCTGTAATGCCACTGATGATGAATACCTGCCAATATTTTGAAAACAATAAATTTTATGTATGCCAATGTAATATATATCAAATGGAAATTATATTTTTATAAATGACCAAAGTAGAAATACGAAGATTTCTTGGTTAACGAAACTAAAATTCAGATTTTTGCTTCATTTTGTGTCTTCTATAAATTGCAAGGAAAAACAAACGATGAAAAAGATGTAAGACGAACATGGGGAATTTAAAAGTTGCATTCTACAACATATCTCCCCATTTCATGTATAGTGCCTCTGTATATTCGCTTATATGTATTTCATCCTACCAAGATTCATCAGAGCGACGAGTACAGAAGCTCTAAAAGTGAAATCAAATATTTTCTATCAAAAGAAGCAATAATAAAATGGCGTCAATATGGACCCTAATCTTAACTATCTTTTCTTATATTTTTATAATTTTCACGTTCGTGTAGATGAGATAGTACCAAGGAACAACCAACGAAAACATCAGAAACATAAAAGGGAGAACCGAAAGGAGAAACCCAATTTGGAGTCTGGAGACGCTCCTTTTTCATTGTATATATTAATCCACATGTTAACAAAAAAAGCACGTCTATCCCGATTACAACCAAGCTTTCTATAAAATCCTCCTCAAATAGCTAATGGATGTACCCAAAACAAAACAAATAAACTTAAATGACCTTCGTATTATAGCGAACAAATATTAAGCGGAGAGCAAGAATAAACGTTAACGAGCACACGTTAGAAAAAATCTAAATTTAAAGTGGGGTGCGACAGGGTTGTATTGTAAAAGCACGAACAAACTAGAAAATAAAATGAGAAAGGTACGTTGTGTAAGACCTAACCTAACCTAACCTAAAACTGAATTTGAGAGCTAGGCTGACAAGGTATTTCATTTTCTTGGCTCTGCTCTACGGAATGATAACGTGAACCAATAACCTGGAGGCTACTAAGCAGCTGGAAGCATTCAAATTATCACTCAATGCAATAAAAAACTTATCCTCAAAACACTAAAGCTGCAATACTTAAGACATGTTATGAGTGGGGAGAGATACTACATACTTCAACTAATTATAGACTGAACGGCCCAAGGCAAAAAAGCGTAGTAATGAAAAGAATTTCATGACTGCGTAACTTAAGAGAATTACGAATGCACATCAATTGAACTATTCATAGCAGTCGTATATAAGATCAGAATAGCAATGACGATTGCACAACTCCGTCAGACATATGGTACGTAAAGAACAAGTCTTAGATTCAAAGGCACTGACATCGTCAGTAATAATAAATAATCATACGCTGGTATTGTAGAAAATGCTAATGAATAGAATAATATGATACGAATAAAAAAGCAAAACATGTACACGCAAATATAAGATTCAAAACCTGGTATAACGGATCGACAATATGTCCGTATCAAAAGAGAGTACATATACAAATGCAAAGAGAAATCAGAATGGCGAAGAAAAAATTCAAATGGTTCTGAAACTATTTTAATACTCCAAAATGAAAATAGTATCCAAAAACAAGAGCACATGTTCAACACATGGGCAAAGGAATTTAATGTGATCATCTTAACCCAGAAAACTAAATAAGTATGTCAAGAAGTTATAAAGTATGACATATAATGACATGCAATAGGTGCACATCTGATTGACTCAGTTTAAACACGAAGGCCATTCAAGACGGTGGAGATGAGAAGACTGACAAGAGAAAAAACGACTAGACAATGAATAGAAAAAATAATGCAAAAATCCGGTAAGTTTACATGAAGGAAGCCATACTGGTCAATATAGCAAGAAACAAATCAAACGGTAGACGTAGTATTCGCTACCTCACAAAATATGGAGTGACAACCTTCAATAGAGACATCAATACACCAATGAACAAAAATAATTGCTTAGAGGGAGGAAGAAGATGAAACAAACTCTAGAAGTAAGATAGAATTAAACAGATAAAGGAAAATAAAAATATTATTAAATATACAAACAAGTAAGACGAATGTCAATAGATTAAAATAAAAGTAATCGAAAGATCGAAGAAAAATATATCTATAAGGATAAAAACATTAAGAAAAAAATTATTAATGGAAAAATCTGATTAGTATGAATGAGGGAGGCCACATCGATCAATATAGCAAGAAACACATCACCAAACGGTAGACGTAGTATTCGCTACCTCATAAAATATGGAATGACAACCTTCGATAGAGGCATCAATTTACCAGTGAACAGAATAATTGTTTAGAGGGAGAAACAAACTCTAGAAAGTAAGCTAGAATGAAACACGTAAGGAAAAATAAATTTTTTATTAAATATACTATCAAGGAAGATGAATGCCAATAGATTGAAATAAAAGTAATCGAAAGATCGAAGAAAAATATATCTATAAAGATAAAAACATTAAGAATCAACGTTAAAAAAAGTTCATTTCTCCGGAATCAAAAATTTTATTATTACAATACAATTCATTCTTGTAGATACTACAAAGTCTTCAACTTCTATTCGGTAAAGCACATCATGATTCATGAAGCGTTAACAATAAAAAGTTCAAAATTATTTTAATAAATAAAACTTCTTGTTACTATTATAGATTTTTTTAAACACTTTGCTGTTCTAAAAGTTTCTGTTTTTCTTTACGTACTTCTAGTTGTGTAATTTAGAGAGACAAAACTTAAAACCATTGTATCAATACTTAAAACTAGGTTATCCAAAACGTACGGCTAATATAGCTATAGAAGCAGAAAAATGACAGAAGTATTTCGAAGAAATATATCAAGAAACGGATAGAGAAGAAAAAAGAGAAACAATAACGAACACAGACTAAGATAAAGAAGAAGAAGAATTAACCAATATAGAAGTGAAAGAGAAAATGTGCAAACTTGAAACAGTGGAAGAAGAAGGTAAAACATAGTGGCAATGAAAAACAAGGAGACCATAGAATATGCAAAAACTACCGAGCAATTAATTTACTGGATGTAACATATATATAAAGTAATAAGTGATATAATTTAGAGATAAACTAACAACATATACAGAACAAAGCCTAGGAAATTACCAGTTCGGTTTTAGAAAAGGAAGATTCAGGATAGAAAACATATGAGTACGACGGAGAAACACATATACTTTTCCTAGACTTTAAACAGGCATTTGACAAACTAAACAAAAGAAAAATGATCCAAGACTTACAAGAAAGTAAGTAATATACCAAATAAAATCATAAGAATGATAGATATGACAATACGATATTCCCAAGCAATAATGGACATCGGAAGAGACAAAAATGGAGTAAGACAAGGAGATGCATTCTCAACAGTACTATTTATTCTATCACTAGACAAGATAATAAAAAAGCTGTCAAACGCAGGAACTATAAACAAAAATGCAGTACAAGTAATAGGATATGCGGACGATATACCCGTAGTAGCAACAGATTAAAAGGCATTAAAGAAAACCTTCCAAGAAATAGAAAATAAAGCCAAACTGAGAGGACTAGAAATAAATGAAAATAAAAGAGAATACGTGAACATAAGCAAGAAAAAGAAAACACAAATGACAGAACTGACAATAGATTCACACAGTTTCGAAGAGGTTGAAACATTCAAATTATTTAGAGTACTAGTCAACAGAAGAAATGAAAGTTAGATATAAAAAGAAGAATTCAAGCGGGAAATGCAGCGTTTTATAGAAAAAAAAAAATGTTTTGAGATAAGAAGATAAGCCTAAAGAGAAAAATGAAAGTCTACAAAACGACCATAAGACCAATAGTAGTATATGGTGCAGAAACATTTATATTAACAACAAGAGAAGAAGAGCAATTGCAAGTTTTTGAGAGGAAGATTGTCAGAAAAATACTGGGACCAAAGAGTGAAAACGAAGAGGATGCATCACGAAATACCAGAATGGATAGGTCAAGAGAACATAGAACAATAAAATCACAAAGAATTAGATGGTATGGACACATAATGAGAAGAAGTTCATTAACAGAATGGATACCACCAGGTAAAAGAACCATAGGTCTGCCTAAACTGAGATGGAAACAAGATTTGAAGAGTATGGAAATTAGAAATATAGAAAGGACAATCAAAGTGAGAGAAGAATGGAGAAAAGTAGAGAAACCGGATAATGCAAAACCAAACCAAGAATGGGAGGATCCCCCACACAATAAGGACTTTCATATGAAAACAGCTTCAACTTCTTCGGGGCGTATATGTTGTATATATAATTTAGATAATTTAGAGAGAGAAAAAAGTAAGCCATGGAGATGAGACAGAATAAAAAATGAGAAATAGTCTTCATGAATAATATCCCAAACATTCAGCAGATGGAATATAAATGGATGAAAATAAAATAAAAAATTGACGAAATTTATATCTATTGTATATAACAAACATTCAACAATAAAGTTAATCTTTTTTAGAAGAAAGAAACAGTTTTTTTAATGATAATTAATTTTTGTACACGAATGTACAAAAGATTTTGTTTTAGCAAAATGGTTAGTGAAGTACATGATAAATTCTTAAAGCTACGCCAAGATGTGCAAAAAATATTTAAAAGGAAACTTACTTGGAACGCCATTGTTACTGCACCACTGATAAACCGATGTAGAATGAGTTTGCTTGAGGAAAACTTATAATGTGTGGTAACTCGATACAAATTTTTATGCGTTTTTAACAAAACTTTATGGTAATTGGTTTTTATCGAAACTGAAAATTATGTGTGCACTCGTTTACAGCTACTTGACCTATAATATGTTGTTTAGGCAAAACTTTTTGGTTTTATATAGTTTTCCGAATTTTTGTGCTCTCTCAATAGCGAGTGCTGTTTTCCAATGAACAAATCGTGGTTTCTTATCAAAAGAGTGTTTTAATTCATCCAAAGAAAATGTATAATTGGTCCAGTATTTAAAAATTTACGATAGCAATAAATTGTGTCATGTTCGTTTAGATTCGATGTTCAGTTTTTTATGTATTAGTTATTAGTATTTTTCACTATTTACATTTTTAATTCATCATCACTATTCTTATTTTATAAAAGTCATCGTGTTTAGTTCCTGTTTTTTTTAAGCAGCTTCTGTGAAGTTAATTCCTAATTGTTCCACATCTTTTGGAAGTTACCCTATAGGTCTTCTTCTATGTGAGTTCTTATTTCGTAATATGACTCCCGGAGAGAGTGTAATGGTCATTGCGATGTCTCCAAAGACTTCTGTCTGTGGTCATTTCTTTTAGCTCATGCATATGTCTTTTGCATGTTCCTGCAATTTGGTCGATCCAACTTGTTAGGGATCTTCCTCGTGATCTTTTTCCTTCTACCTTTCCTTGGATAATTAGTCTGCTTATATAACATTCCAAACTATTTTAATTATTGGAGATGGACTTTCCTGGATAGTCTTTTGCTGACCTTTAGCTCATTTAAAATTGAATTATTTGTCCTGTGGTCAGTCCACGGAATTCGTAACATTCATCTCCAACGGAAAATTTCAGTGGCATATATCTTTCTTCTTTCAGCTTGTCGTAGGGTACAAGATTCACATTCCTATGTCAGTATTAGAAATATTAAGCAGTTGATCAACCTCCTTTTTAGAGTTCGTGAAATTTGAGAGTTGTTCCGTATTTTGTCTTAGTTGTTCTCAGCATTTTCTTTGTTACTGTTGTGTCATATCTTGCCTCTATCCCTGTGGTGCTTTAGTTTTCGATAAACCCACAACTGGCTGCCAACCGGGCAAATTTGGTACCCGAATATTCGTAATAAAAAGCTGTACAATTTTTTTAAATAAAATTTGTTGATTAGAGGGGGGACCATGTAAATAAACATGAAAAAAGCAAACATTTTGATTTTGTAATTTTAATGAAATTATATATTTAACTTAGGATATCTATTTTACTATTTTATTGCCATTATTCACATGAAATTCTCTTTTTATTTTTTGTCGAACTTCGTTTGACTTGAAATGTGTTAATTTGGTCTACGCATGATCGATTTGGCTTGATGCTAACTTATTCTTGCTAAGCATTTGTTCAAAATAATTGCTGTTAATTTATTTGTGGTATTCAGAAATGTGACTCATTACCAATTTTCGCAATATCTTTTGTCGCTCTTTTTTGATATCTTTATTATAAGTCCTGTTTTCAATTCTTTGGGGAACTTTTCCTCCCTCCAGGCCTTTGCAAGATTGGTTTGAATAACTCTGTAATTGTGCTTGGGCAAGATTTTAACGCTGGTGGAACTTTTAGTTCATCGAATCAGTGAACGAATTTGTATACCTAAGAGTGCTCCTTAACACTGAAAATGATACTACCGCAGAGATAAACTGCAGAATTTGCACGGCCAACAGATGTTATTTTGGGATTAATCTCCCCCTTAAATCCCCAATCGAGAAGTACAAAAATAAAACTCTACAAAACAATAATACGCCCAGTCCTAACATATGGTTCATAGATTTGGACTCTAACAAAAAGTAATGAAATCATGTTAGGATGTTTCGAAAGAAAAGTACTAAGGCGAGTCTATGGAATAGTGAATGGCATGGAGTGTGGAGAAGGCGATAAAACTTCAAACTTTATAATATATACTAGGAACCAGATATCGTAAAGCATATTAAGATAGAGCATCTGAGGTGAATAGGGCATGTAGTGCGGATGGAACAAAATGACCCAGCTAGAAAAATGCTCCTTGGTCAGAGAAGATGAGGAAGATACAGAACAAGGTTCCTTGATAACATCGATGAAGACATGGGAAATATGGGAATACGTGGTTGGAGGAGGAAATCGATGGATATGGACGACTTGAGAGAAATTCTTGAGGAGGCTAGGACCCACGAAGGGTTGTAAAGCCAGAATGATGATAATGGTGGAACTTTCAGTTTTCTGTGGTCATTTCTATTTCTTGCGTTGTTGGTTCATTGTTGTTAATGCTAGTTTATTGATATTGGAGTTTATATTTTGTGCATCTTTTGGTATGAGTGTCTGCAAGTATGTAGTTTCTGCTCTGCTTCTGTTTTGGAATTTAGTAGTTCTAGATTAGTGTGTTTGCGTCGTTCTATTTTATTCCACGCTTCTCTAGTAATTCATTCTTTCTTTACGTATTTATTTAGGCTCGAAGTTCTCGTATGAATTCTACTTTCGTCTCGTTGTTTCTTACCTTCTCAACGTTGAACTTTTTTCCTATGGGTCCGTTCGATTTTTTCCTATTCCTAGCTACCTTGAATCTAATTTCGGTCATCATCAGATAGTGATCGTCGGCTGCATCTTCGCCTCTCCATCATCTAAGATTCACATTCTCCACTGCTTACTGATTACAATGTAGTTGTAAGTGCGGTTGTCTGGCGATTTCCATTGGATTGTTTTCTATGCTAACAAAGTTCTTCCAATAATTAGGTCATGGTTACCACACGGTTAATACTAAACGTGAAGACCGGTAAATTTTATGGAACAATGACAATTTTACTGAAACAGCATAGAAAATGGGAGTTTGTAAAGTTATTTTTGTTAATTTGTTGCTTAATTATTGCAAACATAGCTTTAAAAGTCGATTTTTTGAAAATGATTAATGACTTTTCTAAAAATGCACAAAAATCTTTAATTTCGCGTGATAATATTGTTATGAACGTGCATTCAACGAGGCACGTATAACGGTTGCATCTCGAAACAGCACCTCATGCTTCCATGCGGCGGCATCTCGAAAGCGACTCGATGTTTCGAGAAACATCAGTCACGTACGCCTAGAGGTGGGAGCTTTCTAGAAAATAGTAACTTTGGTATATATATGTAACGATCTTAGGAATAAGTTTAGTTGATAAGAGAATACCGAACTGTAAAGTTATAAATAAATATATTTATATAAATTCGAACCGCTCGTTTTATTTAAAAACGGTACAATATGGATAAATAAAAATGAATTGTTTGTAAAGTTTACTATTAAGAGATATTATTTATAACTATAATACATACATATTTAGGTTTATAACCATTTCATCATTTCATAATCATTCCGTAACCGTTTCTACTAATAATAAGAAAAAAGTAAAATTTTGCAAAATAGTATATTACTTTATGAGGCGGAGAAGCATGACTTTTCTTGACGCGACCGATATTACGCGCCGAACGAAGTGGGGCGCGTAATAGAGGGCAAGACAAGAAAAGTCGCTTCTTTGTCGAATAAAGAATACTATTTTTTCTTCAAACGTAGCAATTTTCAGCCATAAATAGTACAATTCATACGCTATTTTTACTCGAAATTAACTGTGACAACTATCAAAGTCGTCTAGATGTTAGAAATTAAAATAATTAAGTCGTCGGGATTTGCGTCTCCCTGGTTACAGTTTGCAATTATTATTATTTTTTTGTGTGTTTTGGCTTGGACAATTGTCATTCAGCCAGTCTCAATCAAGATAAGTTTATTAATGTAGTGTGTGTGTGTGTGTGTGTGTGTGTGTGTGTGTGTGTGTGTGTGTGTGTGTGTGTGTAGAGTAATTGTCTTGATACTTAGCAAAGTCGACGTCATTGTCTTTGCTAAGAGACGCTAATTGTATCCGAACGTCTGCGGTCCCTCCGGTGAGTACCGATCACACAAGGATAGAAATTATTTTCATTTATTAATTTTTTTAATAAACGAAAATTTCCACCCAGGTGAGATTCGAACTCACGACCTTTAGGTTTAAAGGTAGGCGCTCTTACCACTGAGCCACAGAGGGGGTTATTTGCAATTATTAAAGACAGCTTATTGTTGTTCGCAAGCCGCCAACATCGGGAATGATTGCTGAAAGTTGTTCTCGACCATCAGTATCATCAACAATTACTAATGCGTATCAAGAGTCGGGAACATTTTTGCACGGTTTCCAATTTTGAAAATGCCTCATTAACTAATTGTACTTTTAATATTACTATAAGTAAAAATAATGTTTAATTGTTGTTAATAACATTTGTATTGTTGCTTTGTGACATGTTTTATATTGTTGCCATGACAACATTTTTTCCTCCGCCGAAAGAAATGGGAAAAAAACTGCTGCCGGCGGAGACATCAAACTTTGACAGGATCAAGTTAGATAAGTAATGTCATCATTATTTGACGTTTGAAGAAAATAAATATTTATTTTAAATGGTTTAAACAAATTACTCGATTAAAGCAATTCACAAATTAACTAAATGCATTTGTATAAAAACATCAATTTTTGTTGATTAGAACCGAAGATATTGTGGATTTTATAAATTTGAATTTATGAAGTTTTTGAAATAGTAAAATCGCCTCGTTTTAACCCTTTATCTTTGGCGCATCATGGACGGCTCATTTTTGAGGAAATCAAAAGACTGATATGTTTTTGTACACACTTATGACAAATTAAAAGATGGAAAATGGAAGTAGTTTTGAAGTTGATAAAAGATTTTAATTCTTAGTTGAGCGTTTTCGGCTTACAAAGCCACCTTCGAAGCTATGCGACAAGAGAGCAATGATATAAATAACTAATTTTAATTTAACAATGATTCACTTACGTCAAATATTAAGTATCCCACTAGGAGATATCATGTGGTAAGCAGAAAAATGCTGGTTCTATTTTTATTTTTTCTCTTCTTTTTTAATCAATGAAAAAACACACAAAGGACTGTACACAGAACTTCACAAAAACACACATTAAAAAATTTGGTACTGGTACCATAGGTTGTCAGAACCCGACCATTTGTACTGGAGTTGAAGCAGCAGATAGAGTGAGCAAAATCGAATGCCTGCCTGCCTGAAATTATTTTTGACAATTGAGATACG